CCAAGCATTACTGTCTACACACTCCACTGTCCACATGGGTGATTTATTTGGAATAGAACTATGTATAATAGAAACATTGCACGAGTAACTAATTCATTTTTTAATTTGATTTTAAATTTCGTGCACTATTGGACCCAAGAATCGCTAAACGCATGCGCATTAAGTCACAGAGCATGAAAAGGCATACTCATAGCGCTTATATCAAGTCGGTATGACAGATTTCCTAACCTGAACGGTCGTGAACTTTAACGCTAAATATCTCGGTTCGCGGGGCAGAGCGACGCTTATTTCTGTCAGATTCGTTCGTTTCATGCAAAAACGCATCAAATGAGCCTAATTTCATTAAAATCGGTGAGGTCGGCCGTCATCTCCGTAATTACCAAAAACATTATTCAATATATAACATTGCATTAATATAAATTTGAGTATTACAAATTTTAATATATAGCTTTAATAATATTCTTACGATTTTTGGATGAACATTCGACATTTTTGTCTTCTTCCATATCTTATATTCCGTACTGTTCCGTACATTACATGTGCATAAAATAAAAACTTGCGGATAAAAATCGGCGGAACAAACGTAAAATGGGTTAAGCCCATGGCACATACAAAAACGTAAGGCCGTAAGACATAATCAGTAAGCGAATTGGCCAATCACGATAGAGACCGTAAGGCCAGTAGTGAATCCAATCTTACGATTTCTTTACTGCTTACTTATTACGGCCTTACGTTTTTGTATGTGCCATGGGCTTAAATCAATCACGAACGGTCCGCCAATTCCGCATTGTGTATACCCACAGTATATGCAGTAGCGCAACTCTCTGGATGCATTCAGTACTACAACCGCTCAATGAGCGCTCAGTGAGCTTTTACATCTGATTGGCATATTCCGTTAGAACTAAAAATATATACCAAACAGATTCAAGAGCTCACTGAACGCTCAGTGAGCGGTTGTAGTACTGAATGCACCCTCTGTTGACACCTTTGATGTCAGCGTGGATAAAAATGAACTGCACATGCGCGAGCGAGGTATGTAACCAATCAAGGCATTGATATTCCATCTCACTTCTTCTCTCTGTTGTAACCTTTTCTCTTTTTCTACTTTATTGCATAAGGTCTGTTCTTTTTCCACTGTAAGTTCTGAACTGGTGTACACTGATGCAATAAGTTCAGAACCTTAGAAAAATAACAGACCTACACAACATACAATATATTTAAAACAGAAAATAAAATAGAAATGAAACATGATAGATATACATTTATTTTTCAGGAAATATAAGGAGATTCGTACTTATACTTAACCTTTTTTTATTTGCAATGATAGTTAGAGTTACAAAATATAAACGCAATAAGAGAACTAATAATGGATGAAGATGAGTTCTAGTCTTACTTATATTGTATCACTTTTCTTCAAAATGTAAGTGGCACTCGATAATTACGATGGGCATATTCTACACCCATTGCTTCCAAATCCAATCTTTCACACGCACATATCCATTGCAACCATCTGTAAATATTATAATTTGTTATTGTAATTATAAATAAAAATAATACACATAAACATATATCTAATATATATATATATATACATGTATATAGAAATTTAGAAACATGAAATAATGTAAATATATATGTGCATATGTATCGAATATATTATAAATTCATATGTTTTAGAAAATAAACAAAATGAAATTGTACCTGTTACGTTCCTTTGGAAACCGAAACAAGTGTCGTTTTTCCGCATTATTTTTATTATATTCCTTGACAACACACCATCCGTTTGATTTCTGGGCTAACCTCTTTTCCATCCTTTATGATGTTCTCTCAAAATAATATCTGCAATACAAAGCTAAGATCAAAGTGCTTCAAGAAAATCGAAAATCTGTATAATTTTTATACAGATAAACTATTCTCCGTAAATATTACAGGGTTTGCGGGTTATTACCATGTCTTCTTTCATGGTCGATGCCAACGTTTCGTGAACCATGCTGTTCACTTCATCAGGGCGAGGGGTGCACTGATACTGAGCTACTTCCCCGGGGGACTCCCTTTTTATAGGTAAAACGCTGTCGGGAGGGGAGGGGGATTTTGGGAAGTGGGGGGGATACTCCGTTGGTCTGTCATGAGAGCAGTTTTCCATATCTTGCTCACAGTATAACCTGAGTCTCTGTTTAAGTTGTCTGGATGTTTCTGTATTTCCAGGGTCTCTCTATGTTTCCTCGGGAAATACGATGTTGTCGTGGCTAAGGTTGTCGTTTTGTCGAATAGTATTCGGTGTCCTGTCTCCAAGTTGTGTTCTGCCAGGGCTGATTGTGTGACGTGTTTCAGCCTGACGTCCCGTTCATGCTCCTTCATTCGTGTGTTGACCGTTCTTTCGGTTTCGCCAATATACACCTTCCCGCATGAACAGGGTATTTTGTACACTCCTGCCGAACTAAGTGGAGGTCTCTGATCCTTGGGATTTCTCAATATTTGTTCGATCTTCCTTGGAGGCTTGAAGATAGTCCGGATGTTGTGTTTGTTCAAGATCTTACCGATTCGATCTGTTGTTCCTTTTACGTATGGGAGGAACGAGAGCCATTTTTTCTCTTCCTGTGATTCTTGTCTGTCTGTTCTTTTTATCCCACTCCTTTGTTTGTTGATTGTCCTGTTCACCTCTTCCTTATTGTATCCGTTCCGCTGTAAAGTTTCTTTCAAACGGTTAAGTTCCGTTTGCAGATGTTCTTGGTCAGAGATGCTCAGAGCTCGGTGTACGAGTGAGTGTATTGCCGATTGTTTTTGAGCCGAGTGGTGGTGACTCCGCATGTATCTGTTCGTGTGTGTCGGCTTCCTATATACCTGGTGGCCCAATGTGTTGTCCGCCTTCTTTGTGACAAGAACGTCCAAGAAGGGGAGCTTACCGTTCTCTTCTATTTCCATAGTGAATCGGATGTTGTTATGTTGGTTGTAGAGAAAGTTTAGGAATTTGTGAAGTTCATCTTTGCCGTGTCTCCGAATTGTGTTCGAATGTGTCGTCTACGTACCGGAACCAGATTTCCGGTTTGTTGTTTGCCTTACGGAGGGCCTCTGCTTCAAAGTGCTCCATGAAGATGTTTGCTACTACGGGGGAGATAGGGGAACCCATAGCCGCTCCAGACTTCTGTTCGTAGAATTGGTTATTATAGGAGAAATATGTGGTTGTTAGACAATGCTCTATTAAAGTCTTAAAACGCTGTAGGGACAACATCGCTGTAGCAATGTTGTCCCCAAATTCCTATAATTCAAGGATCATTTGGGCACTCGTTTGTCGAAGAATATATATAGAACTGGACAATTCCTCACTAAGGAACGTATCCATTTCACTAAGATACAAATAAACAAGATCTCCCAAATATCCTTTAAACTCCACCTACTCCTATCCACTACACTACGACAAGACATTTGGCTCTGGACCGCATTACTTACGAACAAGCACAGATCACTCACGCACAGAGCACTGAACGGCAGAAGAAGAAATTCAACAGTTTGGCCCCACACAAAGAGCCACAACCCCTACTCTATACAGTAAAAAACGTATCAGACAAAAACCTGTCCCCGGACACTATTGCCGCATTAGCCAAAGGCCCTAACTTCGCAGTGGCACCCAACAGGATTCCAAAAGAAGAAATAATTAGCCAAATAGAGTCAATCATCTACAGACTCCCCACGGACCAGGCAGATCACATACGTACACAAGTAGCCAGCATACTCCAAAAGGCTAAGCCCCCTACGCCCAATATCACCAAACAAGAGCGACTAGCCCTACAAAAGATAAACAAGGACACAGACCTCACGATACTACCAGCAGACAAAGGCAATGCAACAGTAGTCATGAATACCACAGTATATACAGTAGCGCAACTCTCACGATTTCATCGTGGATAAAAATGAACTGCACATGCGCGAGCGAGGTATGTAACCAATCCAGGGCACTGATATTCCATCTCGCTTCTTCTCTTTATTGTCGCCATCTGTCTGCACCGTTGAAATGTCCATATAAGGGATTTAAATGACCATTTAACGAAAAGTGGCAGGAGTATATATTATGAGAAATAATAAAGTGATACGTGTGATAAAGTGATTAAGTGACGTGTTTAGTTATAAGTATTCAGTGAATACTTATAACTAAAAAAGTTCAGTGTTCAATAAAGTGCTTAGATTCGACGTATCTAGGAAACAGAAAACCAGATAAAGGCCGAATTTCTATACGGAGAATAGTTTATCTGCGCAAAAATTGTACAGATTTTCGATTTTCTTGAAGCACTTTGATCTTAGCTTTGTGTTGCAGATATTATTTTGAGAGAACATTATAAAAGATGGAAAAGATGTTGGCCCAGAAATCAAACGGATGGTGTGTTGTCAAGGAATGCAATAAAAATAATGTGGAAAAACGACACTTGTTTCGGTTTCCAAAGGAACATGACAGGTACAATTTCATTTTGTTTATTTTCTAAAGCACATGAATTTATAATATATTTGATACATATGCACATATATATTTACATTATTTCATGTTTCTAAATTTTTATATATATATGTATATATATTATATATTTATTTGTTATTTTTATTTATAATTACAATAACAAATTATAATATTTACAGATGCTTGCAATGGATACGTGCGTGTGACAGATTGGATTTGGAAGCAATGGGTGCAGAATATGCCCATTGTAATTATCGAGTGTGCCACTTACATTTTGAAGAAAAGTGGTACAATATAAGTAAGACTAGAGCTCATCTTCATCCAGATGCAATACCTACAAAGTTTTTTGAAAGAAAGTAAGTTCTTATAGAGAAACATCTTACAAAATGTATATTCTTTTCTACTCTAAATTTTATGTACTAAACAATATTTGATAATCTATAAATTAATACTACATTACATATATAATTTACAGTAACGAATCCATTACGACAACATTAGTAAAAATAAATGATGAAGAGAAGATAAATGATGAAATACCTATAGAAGACAATATTTGTATTTCAGAACACGATAAAATAAACAGGTGCTTAAATATATATATTAAATATAATA